CACATCACGAACAACCTGAACAATCTCACATTGCATCAGATTATATTGACACTGATGCTCTCATTACTGGTAATTACAAAGGTCTTGCGATTGCACAAATTAGGCATATGACCCTTCACTTTCTCATTGCCTAACACTCTTTTTGCCCCTTCTCTTCGTACCAATTTAATTTATGTAGCCATTTTATGTTGTGACAATGACTTACTAATTGAATTGCATCCTTCTTTTTGTCTTATTAAGGACCAGCTCCGTTCTCCGATCGCCAGTCGCCGGAGCTCCAGCGGGGCAAAAGAAAATCCAGTTTTTTCCAAAATCGCTTGCCGCCGCCAGTCAGTGCCGCCACCTCCACTGCCACCGGTCTGCCCCTCCACCAAGGACTGTCCTGGACTCCTGGTTGCCAAGGGAACTAGGGGGACAATTAAATAATTAATTAGAATAGGGGGTATTACAGGAAGAAAATCAATGTTTACTCCTATTTGGGGAAGATTAGGAGTGAATTCCTATTTAGGGAAAAGTTCTATGTTTTACTCCTATTTAAGCCAAAGACTCACAATTTTTTGGCTTGAGAATATGATGGAATAAAGAAAATGGCTCACTAAACTGTCTGTGTTTGTTTGTTATGAAGCAACAGTCAGTCTATGTAATTTTGAAGCGATTTTCACTATGGGTCATCCGGAAACAGCCTCTTTATACTTTAGTACAAGGGTAAGGCTGCGTACATCCGACCCCCCTTACCCCACCATAGGTGGTAGCCTTCGCAATGCTGGGGTAATGATGATGATGACTTTAATTTTTTTCCCATAGTATTATTGTAATTAGCTGTTACAAGTTTACAATTGTTAGTATCTTTATCATTTAAGATAGTATAATTGTTTACCTTATACGGATGCTTAGTAACTGTTAAATAGCAGCACTTGTAACCATTGAATGATGTGTAAAAATACAGTTCAAAGTCCACTCTTCTCTTGTTCATCACTTTTACCAGTAAAAACATCTTATTTATGATTTAAGTAGTCAACAACCGATAGGTCCTAGGTGGGAGAGATCATAATATTCGTAATAGAATGATATTAAATAATTGTGGTAGTGTAAAAATAAGGGTTCCGGGCCATGTATGTCATGGGTTTGGGCCGGCCCTTCAGAATATAAATAATATAAGAGTGAGAGGAAGGAAAGAAGGAGGTAGGCAGAAATTGAATATTTGCTTAGGAGAAGGGGATGCTCTCGAATCAGTCCCGTTATCATTCTGTTTTTCACTGTTTTCTGCCATTGTTATTAGCACAAGTTCTTCAGTAATATACTGAATTTACAGTCAATTTTTGGAGTTTCTATCATTGGTATCAGAGCACTGATTCTGGTGAGTTCAAAAATGGAGAGCCGACTAGAGAATTTGGAAAAAACTATCCGAGCACTGATTGACGATATGCAGAATATCACTGTCCAGAAGAGTCGACGGTGACCTAGGGGCCACTTTAGGAACCCTAGACGCCGTCGGAATACAGAAAATCAGATACTGTCGTTCGTTGCTTCTCCTTGTTCGCAGTCGTTGTAACACCCCGGCCCCGTAGGCCCCGAGGTAGTTACTTCTGACCTCTAGTACTGTCCTCACAAACCGCCACTAGCCTTTTCCGCGCACTTTGTCCTCACTCATGCGAGTCCTTAGAAACTTCCCGGGGGGTCACCCATCCCAAGACTACTCCTGTGCAAGCACGCTTAACTTTGGAGTTCTTGGCTAATGAGCTCCCTTAAAAGGAGATGCACCTTGTTGGTATGAGTAGTACTATTAAACCGTTTAAATTAAATCTCAAGTATTACAATCACCCCCACTTAGGAACGCAACGTCCTCGTTGCGCCCATAAACCAATTTCAATCATATCCCAGAATCTTTTCTCCTGCTAAGTGCCCGCCCAATATCCAATGGATCAACACACTGTCGCAGGGTTGCTCTGATACCATTTGTAACACCCCAGCCCTGTAGGCCCCGAGGTAGTTACTTCTGACCTCTAGTACTGTCTTCACAAACCGCCACTAGCCTTTTCCGCGCACTTTGTCCTCACTCATGCGCGTCCTTAGAAACTTCCCAGGGGGTCACCCATCCCAAGACTACTCCCGTGCAAGCACGCTTAACTTTGGAGTTCTTGGCTAATGAGCTCCCTTAAAAGGAGATGCACCTTGTTGGTATGAGTAGTACTATTAATCCGTTTAAATTAAATCTCAAGTATTACAGTCGCGAACGAACGGTTTCTCCGAGTTTGCAGTAGCGAACGGTTTCTCCTAGTTCGCAATCGTAAATGGCTTCTCTCAGTTCGCAGGCATCGTCACTAGCAACTCCTTCCAGTTGTCTGGCTTCATCGCGAGCAGATTCTCAGTCCACAGGAGTCGTCGTCGCCAACAGTTTATCTCAGTTCTCAGCGGTCACCAACTGCTCACCCCGTTTGCAAGCATCAGCGCAAGCAGATGTCCCTGGTTCAGAGCTCCGTCACCTACAGCTTTTCAAAGGTCCCAGAGTTCGACGCTATCATATTCTCCCAGTTCGCAGGGGTCTTTGCAAGCAGCTTCACACAAGGCACAAACCTCATCAGTCCTACAGGAGTCATCCACTTCGGGTAAGGAATTGGAATTGTCTAACAGTGCTGATGATGCTCCTGCTGAAGTTCCTCAAGATCCTATTCCTGAAGTGCATTCTGTTGCTGCAAGAGGTATTGGCTCTATTATAACGCGAATGGGGGAAGAAAACTTCCCAGACTTGGTGCTTTGGCTGTTAGAAACTCTGAAATCTGATCACAACAAGGTGGGGCGTTCTGAAGTTGCACAGGGCCTAAGTGAGGTATTGATGAAGGTTGTATCCAACAGAGAGACATGTGTATTGGTTGGTGGCGGTGTGTTAGCTGTTGATCTGCTAACTACAGTTCTTAAAACATCATAAAGAACTGTATTACCTTTGCAGTCCAACTTAATAGTTGCTACTGTGTTGATGGAGCCATGGAAGGAATGGACGTATATGAGCACGGAGGGTGCAACAGTAGGTTTATTGTGAAGGATGCTGATAATGATGAGCCTCGTGGGGTTTACAACCTTGGGGTTATGCATCTGAAAGACCTTGGGGTTAAAAGGGAATTGAAGCTGGTCGGCAAATGTTTTGGAGGAACTGCTAATGTGGGCCAACTGCAGGTTTTTTATCAATTAGAAAAAATATTCCATACTAGTGTGGGGCTCAAAAAGAATGTTCAAATTAAATGACAACTGCCTTATACAAATTAGCAGCAGAACATGGACCATGGAACTCATTTTCTAGATGGACATTTGAGTCACATATGAAGGGAGATATAGGGAAGGTTTTTCTTCTTGACTCAAAAATAGCAGAGTTGGGCTACGAGGCCACACAATGCAAGGCAGTGTGGATTCTTCAAAAATATGAGTCGAGTATTTGCTTGGGAGCATCGGGTAATGACACAGATGCAGCCAAGTTACCTGTATGTGCATGGATTCACCTTGCAAAGCATTGCTACTATCAAGCCATAGAAAATGATCTTGTAGCCAAGTTGCCTGTAACACTGGTTTTTGCAAATTTATGGACAGGAACCAATTATGCTGACAGCTTCCTGGTTACTGTGATGGACTCATTGCCGGATCTGTATTAAAAAAATGGAAACATGGATGGAGGATGTGTTAATGGAAGAAGGAAGTGCCACAATTCTTCATCTCTTTGTTCGCTTGTTAACAGTACTTTACATAAGTGAGTTTCAACAAAGGCAGGCTGCTGCCGTTGTTGGAGAGGCTGCTCCTTATCAGCAGGATTCTGAAAGAATCAAACTTATGGCTGAGAGACTTAGAAACCAATACCTACTTGAGAAAAGATATACCTTGGAGAGGCTAGCTGAGATATACAGAAATTATTGTTTGAACTGTTGCAGGGGCTTGCATAAAAGCTTCGAGTTTGAAGGGATCCCTGGGAATATCTTGAGGTTTTACTATGATAAGGATTTCAGATCAGAGGCTGTTGAGCCGGTTGTATATCGTTCCTGGTTCCCCAATGTTAGAGTATTCTCAGGTTTTGAGAAACTTGAGGTCAAGTTTCTTGAAAAGATGTTGGAACCAAAGCAAATGTCACAACAAGAGATGCAGCTGCTGGGAGATTCTAACTTTCATAACATTATGGAGCATTATGCCATCATGTCTTTACTTTTGCTCAAATGTGCTGTGAAGAACTCGAGAATGAGGGTTCAAGTACTGAAGCTAAATGTCCAGAAATCAGTGATGTAAGTGATGTACTGGGAAGGAAGAGGCCTAGGATAAAGATGAAATTGAAGATCAAGGTTGTTTCCTATCACGCACCTTGAGGACGAAGTGATTGTCTACGGGGGAGATATGATAGGGTCCTAGGCTGGAGAGAATAATAATATTAGTAATAGAATGATATTAAATAATTGTGGTAGTGTAAAAATAAGGTTTCCAGGCCATGTAAGTCATGGGTTTGGGCTGGCCCTTTAGAATAGAAATAATATAAGAGTCAGAGGAAGGAAAGAAGGAGGTAGGCAGAAATTGGATATTTGCTTGGGAGAGGGGGGCGCTCTCGAATCAGTTCCGCTGTCATTCTGTATTTCTGTTTCTCACTGTTTTCTGCCATTGTTATTAGCACAAGTTCTTCAGTAATATACTGAATTTATAGTCAATTTTTGAAGTTTCTATCAACAACTCAACATGTTGGTGTTTTTCCAAAAAAAAAAAGACAAACAAGAAAACACTTCTGAAAAAAACATCTATGACGCATGTTATCCTAGACAGGCGAAGTCAAAAGCTACGCAGAAGAAGAAAGCTACCAAACGGCCAGAGTCTTAAAATAGAAAGTCCTCCCTAGTACTTTTGAATGAATAATTTAATAGCCTGCCTTGCTTATGAAGTATAATGAAATGGTTGGAGGCCCAATTAGTTTTTTTTAAATAAGCAAGCAAAATGCATATTCAAATTGTGATGCAGTTGAAGTTCCAAAGAAAGCAAACCGATATGGGATCTGGGTCGTCCCATCGACCAGCAAGGATGATTGAAATTGTGGGGGCAACAAAGGTGTATGACCCTCCAATCACAGCAGGTAATCTCGTCCCAAAGATCGTCTGTAATAGGGTGTTGATCCCAGCAACAAATAGCAATGTCTGAACTACTTTGGCTTTCTCCTCCTGCAACCAACAAAACATTTGATTGTTTCGTGACATCTATTTCAGCCGGCCAAATAATTAAATCAAAACTAACTTATTCTGCTTCAAAGCAGAATCGGCCAGCTCTGGCTACCAAACAGAACCTTAATCACTTCCAAAGAAATAGCAGGATCAGTGACTCACATTTCCACCTCCCATCTGGGGAACAAGAATAGTGGGAATTATAACTGTCGTCCCCAGCATCACAAGATAGTGTTGAAACCCAAGAAGAATGGCCTCCGCTGCATTATTATTATTATTGTAATAATAATATTGAAAATAATAATCATATTAGTAGTAATAATGATTAAAACTATCTTAAAGGTGATGCAGTACAAGGAAACACATTAGATATCAAGGAAGGAAATATCACAAGATGTATGCCCTAAACACAGATTTAGTATTTTCTTATCTTCTCTGAAACTACCAACAGCTATAACTACAAAATACTCCGTAATTAAAAAGTGACTTTGCAATCCAGGAGATATTTGATGAAGCAAGGAATGACAGTCATAGAGCATACATTTTAGGTGATTTACCTTTTTAATTCAATGACATGATAGCAAAAATGATCAACATATTCCGCATGAAGGAATAAACCCCAAATAAGTTCAAGTGATTAAAATACCCCACAGTAAAAAATACACAGTAATAAATATAAAGGTTAGCTGACTCTCAAAAGTAAAAATAAAACATACTCCGTAACAATGAAAATAAAAAAGGAAAAATAGCAAAATGGAAAAGAACAGACCGAAATTGAACCCAATTCTAAAACCATATAGAATTGAAAATTTTAGAATATGTATATATTTTAAATCAAAACCCTAAATCGAGAAAACCAATACAATCCACAAGCAAGAAGGCTCACGCCATGGTGGAGGACTAGTAATGCAGTAAGAAACATTGGGAAGCTGATCCTTTGGTGGATGAGGGACTGGCTCATCTGCTTTTGGTGTTGGAGCTGCTCCTCCTGCCATGCCCTTATCTTAGTCTTCTTCTCCTCTGAATAAAAGGTAAATTCGAGAGTAATAGAGCTATTTATTTACTGAGAAGGTGTGTCAAGATTGGGACCGAAATCTGCATAAACCAGATGACCAGATCAACCAGAAAAGCAAAAGAAAAACAAACTCAGCAACAAAGGATTTGAACGCTGCAGTTCCCAGAAAGCCAAGTTAATAATAGCAATGAAATTTATGATATAAGAAAAGCGTAGGAAGACAGCAGGGTGCCCAGAAAGCTCAAAAGATTCAAGAAAATGCAAAACTTTCTAAACTACCTTGAAAGCTCACAGTGAGGAATGAAGAATGATAGAATTGGGAGGAACATCTCACATGCTTCGAGTACACCCCTCCACCACTCACCCAATAGAAAATAGTAAGGAAATAAAATAAAATAAAATAAAAAAGTCCACCTAAATGGTTTGGCCCGGATCGTTTTCTTTTTCTATCTTACGAAAAAGGATATTGACGTACGGTGAGCGATTTTTGCAAGTACAGCAGGATACAGTTGATATGAATTGAACTCGAAAATACTCGAATGTAAATAAAGAAGCTGTAGTTCAATTGCTAATAAGAACTCAGTAATGGATCAAAATATAAAAATCCGCCGTCATGGAGCTTAACTACGCTATATACTCCTTCCTTATCAGTTTAGTAGAAAAAATTCCACTTTTGGTCTCATGACTATTACGCCACTTCCACATTAATCCCCTGAGTTTCAATTTAACCAAATGTAGTCCTTGATCTTTTCCACGTAACCACCTGTGGTCCTTCCGGCCACAATTCCGGCTAAATGTTACCGGAAACCAATTAATGAAGGGTAGTTGCGTCATTTAATAGCATTTATTGGTTTGAAACCTAACTCCAACGTTTAAAGGCCATAAACGCAGACTCTCTAACCATAGCTTCTCCCTCGCTATACCTCCCTCGCCATAGCTACTGTGACCCCCAACAACGTTTGACTGGTTTGAGTGGGTGCAGACAAGCATCTCACCATAGCTTCTCCGTCGCCATGTCTAGCTCAAAATCAGGTAGTTCAAACTGTACGGGCCAATATGAATATGGAGAGTGGATTCCGGTGAAGTATTGTGAATGTGGGCAACGAATGAAGATGTTGACAACTTGGAAACCAGAGAACTGTGGGAGAAGATTTTGGAAATGCATCGGAAGTCAGGTTATATATAGTTGTAATATATGAAATATTTTGAAATTCTATATTCGTTGGCTGAATTGGAAAATATATATGTTCTTGCAGAGATTTGAAGGTTGTGGTTTGATGGAGTGGTTTGACCCTCCGATGTGCAAAAGGTCTCAAAAAATAATCCCAGGATTACTGAAAAAACTGAATGGCTATGGAGAAAAAATTCATTCATTGGAATTGAAGGTTGAAACATTGGAGACAAACTGGTTCAAACCACAGAAGAAGAAGACAAAACGTAGTAACTGCATTACAGTAGTGTGCTTTATGTGTGTTGTGGTTATTATTGTTTCAGTGTGGTTGAAAGGCAAATAATGTAATGTAGTGAGGTGTGTGATGTTGTACTTGTAAAAGTTTTTTAAAAGCTGTTGATTATCATGATTTCGTATGAAATGAAAGTTATATGATCATGATGTATGCTAACTGATAACATATGTATGCTAACTGATAAGTTTAAAATGTGTTTAACACATATGTATGCTAACTGACAACCTTGACAAACTTGACAAACTTGACAACCTGTTAATACATCACTACCATTGTTTGAACTTACATGAGATCATCCATAAACCTGACATCATTGAAAACCAAAATGCTAATCCATACATACATTACATCAGATCATCCAAATACATGATATCATTGAAAACCAAAATGCTAATCCATACATTACATGATCACACTGAGATCATGAATAGCCAAAGTATCTCAAAAACATAGAAGCTATACCAATACAGTAGCATCATCAAAGTTGCATCAGTTCCAAAAAGCAAAAAATGTACTACATTACATCATCAAAGTAGCACCATGAATACACATTTTAGTCCACCCATTACTGTATATCAATGGGGTCATCATCATTTCCATAGAAGACTGATTTGAAAGTTGTTTTTGATCTAGTAGCATATGTTGGGCCCCTTTTAATGCTCAGTTTGGGTCTCGGATTCACTTTAGGTCGTTTGACTACATTTGAACTGCTCTTCTTTTGACAAGGGGGTGGTCCATAGCATATCCTAACCCCTTCTTTTGTCCTCTGGTATGTCCCAACAGTCTCTTCTTCTGAAACCTCTTCACTCTCTCCTTTGGGGCTCTCTTCTTGTTTGCTCTCTTCTAAGGTTTCTTCTTTGCTATCTTCTGAGTCTTGACTGACCTGTGTTTCTTGAGTGAACATAGCAGTGTCCTCTATACTCACAACAATAGGAACCTGAGTTGCAAAATTTGCTCCTTCAGCAGACTGCATGGTAATGTCAATAAGGTTGAGGTCATCAAATAGGGTGGACTGATCACCAAGGGTGTCCTCTGTAGCAAACCCCTCATCCCTAGGCTCCTCATCTCTATCATGCACTCCAACACTGTGCTTGCTCTTTGGTTTCCTATTTCTTTTTCTAGGTTGCAGTTGATTACATGTAAACACATAGTAGTTAATGCACACATTATACACAATATACTATAATAATAAAATAAGCTTACACAAATTAGATGCAGACTATACCAGCTTTTCCTTGTTGTTAAGATCATCCGGACATCTCCTAGCATTGTGACCAGCCTTCTTGCACTTTGAACAATGCAATTTAATATGTGTTCTTGCAACTCGGACACCATCTGTGCTCAGATCTACTGCAGATTTCCTCCTTAGTTTTCTTGGTCTTCCAGCTCTAGCAGCATATACAGGTGGAAGAGGGGGAAGTCTATCAGACCAAGACCACTCATCTGGGCCTGCCATTGGCTTTATGGACCCTGCATAGATCTTCAGATAGGTGTCCTTGGAATAACATGGGTGGACATATGCATCAACAGGGCCTTTTCCAAATTTCAGCCATATAGCACAGATTGCATGCTTGCAGGGGATCCCAGTTAGTTGCTTTAGGGACTCATTCTCATGTGAATAGGAATACACAGTCATTACCTTTTTGGTGCAACCAAGTTCTTGTAATTTCTCATTCAACTCAATCAAACCGAACTCATCAACCTCTACATCATGAAAATTATGGACTCACCCTCCCAAGTATGCAGGTTTTTCCATGTGATTTACTTTTCCTCCATAAAACAACCTCAAAGTAAAAGTGTTTCCACAGTTGGCTGCAGCTGTTTTATAAATGAGGTCAATAGTGTGTTTAAATGGTCAACACAACACCATAAATGAATTTCATGATTATTAGTTCAAAAAAAAGCATGTATGGGTCTAAGCTTGCGTGAAGATACATGTGAACTGGTCCCATGTGTTAAATGGTAAAAGACAACCGGGTAGGGGAATCTAAGCCAAAAAACACATGCCTACCCTACCTTGTTTTGAAATAAAGGGAAAAAGGGAAAGGGGAACCTCAACATCAAACCCCTAGCATGTGCAAACACTGCAACCACCGTATATATAAACCTCAGTTCAGCTTTATACGAGTATTTCTTATTTTCTTCCACTCTTGTTAAAAAGTTGACCCACTTACCTTTATCAGCAGCATTTGTTCGAGAACGCCGTTCAGAGCTTGTTCCTTCTCCTTGACGCCGGCGGTCGAGACGGGTCCTCATTGTTCGAACGGTTTTGGAGATTTGTCGAGCTGACGGAAGCTTTCTTCAGAGGGAGAAGAGAGTTCGGTTTTTGAGGTAGAGGGAGACGACGGTATTAGCTCACAATTAAGTTAACTTAATTGAGTAGTTTATTAGGTAGCCGTTTTTGTAATCTAAATTTACTAAAATGCCCCCAACTACCCTTCATTAAATGGTCTCCGGTAACATTTAGCCGGAATTGTGGCCGGAAGGACCACGGGTGGTTACGTGGAAAAGGTCAAGGACTACATTTGGTTAAATTGAAACTCAGGGGATTAATGCGGAAGTGGCGTAATAGTCATGGGACCAAAAGTGGAATTTTTTCCAGTTTAGTATAGTATACAGAGTCAATTGCTATCCCGTATTGATGGATAGTCTACCCGGGGGTATATATCCGAAGGGTTATTGCTGGGAATAACTTAGAGAGAAGTCAGAGCAAGTAAATGTAGAGAGAGAGAGTGTATTATAAATGTGGAGCGTTTCCAGCGTGGTTACAAATGGGGAAATGAGGTGCTATTTATAGTAGCAATAAATGCCGGACAGGGACACGTGTCAAGCGCCTATTGGCCGAGGGGTCACCATAACTGGTTGGCGTTGGCAGCCGCATGTGGCCGCATTTAATGCGGCTGTTGGATGGGACGTCTGTGCAGGGTACGGTGATCTGCACGCATGTGAGGCAGATATTATGTCGGGAGAGGTGCCCTCGGCTGCAGAGAACCAGCCGAGGGCTCTTAGTGCTGAGGGCCCCTGAGTGCCGAGGGCTCCAGGTGCCGAGGGCTACTGTTTTCGCCATTTTCTCCCAGTTCCTCTGTTTGTTCGAAATATCCATGTTGTGATAGTTTGGAGCCTTCGGCCAGGGGGCCGAAGGCACCCCTGGTGCGTATTGTGGGCTGCTTGGTACTCTGGGTGCCGTGATTTGGGCCTGTTGGGCCTCCTGGGCCTGTTGGGCCTCTAAAGGAGTAGTAGGAGTCTGTGGGCCGGGTGTTCCCGGGCCATATACTCCATCAGGAGTCCCTCACTCCTTTTGCCGAAAGGTATTTGAGGGGAAAGGAGTAATTTTGTGCTTTCCCTTTGATGTTGTCCTGTCGTAATCTCTGAAGTTGGTGAGCAGTTGTTGTTTTCATGTCCCTGCCGAAGGCAGTCCCTCAGTTACCCACATGTCGGGACTTGAGGGCTTGCTTTGTCGTTTGTTGGAATTTCATTAATTTTGTAATTTAATGTTTTTCCCGAGGGGGTTCCCCAGTCCCCCACTCCTTGAGACACTTGTAAAGTGGTGAAAAGGAGTAAAGTAGTTGCGTTGCTGTTGATTAGCCGAAGGCTGACGCTTTTCGTTTCATTTTGGGGGGGTGCCTCGTTAAAAACCTCATTAGGAAAAACCCTGTGGGAAAAAATCCTAATGAGGGAAAAAGAGTGCACCGAATTCCCCCAACGATGAATCGAAAATGTGAAACCTTGGTCGAAAGTGCAAAATAACGGTAATGCCGAAGGCTCTCTTTTCTGAAGGCTCATGTGT